TCCCTACAACATGTGAATAAGGCATATAAATGCTTGAATATACTGATTTTTGTACACTTAACTATTATTACTAAGCTACAACATTATAAAGTTACCATGTGTAACTTCAGTAAGCTAAGGGTACAGAACTGATTTAAAAAAAGGTGTTTTCAAATTAATCTCTAATCCAGAAAAAAAGAGTTAACAAGAGAGTTTTCAACTACTTTGGTAGCATCCTTAAACATAAGAAACTAAGAAACATACGAACCGATCTTCAACAGCTGTAGCACCAAGTAAAATAAAATCTCTTTCTATCTTCTCGTACACTTCTGCCAATTTCTTTTCCCTGTCCTGGAGGGCCAACTTTGCATTCTGAAGCAGCTTCTGCGCTTTGCTATATTCTTCTGCTGTGAGCTTTTTATATGCAACGCACAATGTTCGCAGGCCTTCCTAAAGATTGTAATCCAAAAAACCAAAACACATCTTAGAAAACTCTTCTTAGACTTTATATCTGTGTTTATGCTGGAATATTTGAAAATTGGAATGATTTTTCTATTAACATGAAGAGTCTCACTACTCACTTTTATAGTGAAGTGAGTATAGACTCATATATTATAGTATAGACTAGAACATGGGTTAACTTGATTCTGTGCTGCCCTGGAAGCAACTACAACCCGAGGGACAAACCTCAATCCTCCAGAAGAGAAACAGCTCAGCAACCAAACTGGATGTATGAGATTACTGAGGAAAGGAGAGCCAAGGGAAAGGTTTCCTTCCCTATTTGTATAATTAGGCAGTATGAGTCAGAATAAAGAACAATAATATAAAACAGTAGCTCCGCAGAGTCTGATTTTGATGTTGTGCTGCAGCAGAGACACGGACAAAATACCAGTGTTGAAAGTGAAAATCCAACTGTATCATTTCAGTCAAGTGAAAACTAGAACTTAGCTCTGGGTGTTTCAGACTGGATCAGACTTTTGGACCGTGTGATGAGTAAGAAAGGGAGCATATAGACTGTGTGAGGCCGGAAAAAGCCGCTGTAACAGAGAAAGGAAGTTTTGCCACCACAAATATATTGCCTCTCAAAACACCATTTAACTGGCATGTTATCTTCATAAACTTTAATTCAGTAGGTCTTTCTGTAGTTACTCATTACCAATTCAAGACGAAGTATTAAAAAAGCTCCCTGACTCTTGCTAGTGATAAGGGCAGGTGCCAGGTGGATGCCTGTATCTTCTTTCTATACTTAGGAGCCAGTTCTATTTCCACTTATCCAGGATAAAGAAATAACCATTGGTCTGGAATCTCTCTTGACAGACATTAGATGGATATGATATTTAAACATCTCCATCAGCTTCATCAGTCTCCTTTACTTGTAATTATCAGACAGCTGTTTCACACAGTGAAGCTTAGCAAAGCACTTTGGAAAAGAGTTTTGAAGTTTCCCTTCAAAACAAAAGCAGTACTGTAGGTATTTTTTTCACATACCTGTAATATTTGTTTTCACTTTTAAGTACTCTGTCAGTAAATTTTATCCTATTTATAAGACTGGCAGTCATATTTCATTGCAATAGGTTCCACATATTTTCAGACAGAGAAAAAGACCAGTATTTTACAACTCCAAATATCACCTTTTCGGTAAAACTAAGCACTGAATTTCTTTAAAGGTGATTAAGAAATTCATAGCTCATTCTTAGCAAGTAAAAATGTCATGTACAAGGATGATCACTCCACTGGTACCAAATCAAGCAGGAGATCAGAACATTTTTTCTTTCTTTTTTTTTTTACACTGCTATCACATGAACAGATCAATAAAATGGAATCTTACCACTGCATTGCGTTCAACTCTGGATCGTATTTGGTCAATTTTGCCTTCTTTAACTCTAGGAAATATGGAAGAATCTGCTCCTTTACAAAACAGAAATATATCACCTAAAAGAGATAGCATATGGAATTCAAAATAGTGAAATATATCTATCTAAAAACAAAAATAATCAAAATTACTAAGTCTTCAGAAAGATTTCTTCCAACTTTTTTTATAGCATCTGCACTCATGCCAGTACACAGGTCCCTTTTTTATAAGGAAAGGAACACAGACTGTGATTAACGCTTAACTCTTTGACAAAACTGAAACAAATTAAAGTGAAACAAAAACATCTAAGAAGAAACAGAATGTGACAGCCCTACCTGTTGAAGATTTAACAATCACACTCATTCGCCGTCGCACAGAATCAAAACTCAAAACCTCTAGTAATTCAAACCTGAAAGGGAATCAGAATACTTTTTAAATAACTCTGCTTTTCCAGATCCCTAAACTAGTTATTACAACTTGGAGTATATAAATTAAAACATGATTTCTAACATGGAAAATTATGTTGAATACTACGGAATATTGAACTGGTATAGAACTAAACAGCAGGTTACAAATAATAAGCAGTGGAGGCCCTCAGCTTAGTATTTGTCTGCATAATGTTTGTAACTATCTTTGGATGTATAGTCCATATAATTTATTTAAGCAGAAGACTAGAAATCTTGCAGTAGAGCACTATACTGCTTATAAAGTAAATTCCTACCTACAATACCTAGGCAAAAGTCTGAAGTAACCTTCAGGAAAAATCCATCCCATATCCCTAAAAGGGGGAAAAAATAACAGCAGGGTTCCTTTATTTGTGTCCCAGAGTCCCCGCATAGTGAGCAGATTACACACGCAGGAAGACACAGATACAATAGCCTTAACCAGCTGACATCCGCAGAAGTGTAAGGCAACACTTTGGAAACTATGCACATGCCATTTAACAGCTGTGCAACTTAAACGTTATTGAAAAATTTACTGATATTATGGTCTACAAGATTTATTCTACATGTCAAACTGACAAAAAAACCCCAACAGTAACTGCTTTAAATATTCTTTGAACCAGCTACAAAAATTTGGTCTACAGATATTACCCTCCTGTAAATTATATAGATTATTTGTGAAGAACAAATGGAGTGCAGACCATTTTCTATCACAAAAATATTAATTATCATATAGAAAATGAAAAGTATCCATTATCAGGGATTATTAGATTAGGTCATGACCCCTACATCACACTTCTGTCATATTAATACTTCATATTGCATATGCTGTCAAACTAACAGACTAAGTGAAAATATAGAACTCTAGGGTCTATTAAAACTATAAATATTAGTATACTATTATCCTACTAAAATGCACAATTTCTGACTTTTCTGGATTAAAAACTAGGGTATAGGAAAAGAATGATTATTAAACAAATCAGTTAAAAACATCCTCGTCAGTCTATTTTGTTATATTTTTAATCACTCACTTCTCTATGTTATTTTCCCGATTTAAGATCTCCATAAAATTGTCCTTCAGCCTTAGATAGGTGTAACCAAGTCTGTAAAACGAAACACACATCAGGACAATGTATACAACAAACATATACTTACCCACTTTAAGCATGTCATAAGGACTTCAAGATCAAGCTTATCTTCTAGGGAAAAAAAACACCAAAAAGCAACCCCCCCCTCCAATCTGTTTTTGACTTATGAATATGAATAATCGTGACTACATGTTAACAAAACCATCAGCTCAAGATGATTTGGTGTTCATTATTATGATTTTTGTGCTGAAAAAAAATTTGAACCTCAGTAACTAGATCTCTAGATTAAATAGTATAATACCTAATTACACACATACCTCTGTATTCCCTCAACTAAAGCAACTTCATCAGGTGATGATGAAATATATATACAAGATCTCCTTGAGAGACGGTTCTTCTTCAATCCATCTACACTGTCATCATCTTTTACCTGAACGGTGTGGCAAAGACAAAGAGCTCGGAAAAATAGTTCCTCTCTCTCCTGAAAAAAAATAAAAGGAACAGTTGTTATTACGTGCGATTGCTTTTGAATATTCCTTTGAGAACTTTTCTTTTGGAAGGTTACTATACTACTACTCTTTATTATCAGACAAAGGCAGTGTCACAGATCACCTGCCCTTTAGGCAGAGCCGTCTTTCTTAGAGGTCACCACGAAACTGTTTAACAGCTGCTGGAGCTACTGGTGCTGCCACAAGTCGAGCTGCTGATGCTCCAAAAAGCCAGCGTGCATATTCTGCCTTCTCTGAGGGCCTAGATGAGTCTAAAGTGTTGCTTAAACTTCAACAACGTGTCAAGGGACAATCGTGAAGGGACAGTTTTAGGAATCCTGAGTCCAGACAAAGGGCTGCAGCACCTGGAGCACAAGTGTTCATAGAATCATAGAATGGCCTAGGCTGGAAGGGACCTTAGAGATCATCTAGTCCAACCTCCCTAGCATTGGCAGGGACGCCTCTCAAGTAGATCAGGCTA